AGAACGAGACTCTCTTATAGAGTAGATAACGAGTAAACTAAGTACGCTCAAGAATAACTCAAACTTCACACGAATTGGCTCTAAAAAGCTATGGAAATAGATGTTTTTTGAATGCAATGAAAGTAGGAGAATTGTGAAGTGAATTGGTGAGAAAAGAAGACCCAAACACCCCTTTTTATAGTGCAAAAATAGGCTCCAACGGACCAAAACATTAAGGGGGTGATTGGCTTGATTTATGGGATTGAATAAAATTGGAATATGCAAGATATTGGCTTCCCATCGATGTTTGGAACTTACCCATCGCTGGTAAGCCAATTTTCCTTCAGTTTTGAAGCCAATGGTCACCTACACATCGATGGGTACAAGCTTCCCATCACTGGGTGGGAGGTTGACTTCCAAACAAGGAAAGAATCAACCTTAAATGACTTCCAACGGTCATGCCTTCCCATCAATAGTTTAGCCTTACCATCGCTGGGTTCCCATCGATGGGATAAGTTTCCCATCGCTAGGTAAGGTCGTTCTTCCTTGTGTTGATGTTGCACCAAGGCTTTAACAGCGATGAGTAGAACTTCCCATTGCTGTTTGGCATGGTTCTGGAAGTTGGTTTGGCTGAGGGACCGCTTACCCATCGATGGGAAGATCTTCCCATCGCTGGGTGGGTAGTTAGCCAAGTGGTTTTCAACCTTTTATGACTGGTTTTTACTTCTGGGCACATTTAAATAGTTCTCCAACAAAAACGCTTCAAAAACCACCTTTTGTTTTTGGTCGTTTAGTGAAAATCATGCGAAACGGCATAAACTTGGCTAGCCGTGGTTTTCAACTAAATGATGTGGTTTTCAAAATGTTTTACTTGATTTCTTAGCAAAATGCATTAAACAAACATTTTCAATACTTGGTTTTTATTTTGGAGAACTTACATTTTTGACATTGGCTAACGGCTGACTAAACCAACCATGGGTCTGGCTAAACCAGCCCAACAGCGATGTTGGTGAAACCAACAGCGCTGTCTGGCTTGGGTGGCTGAAAACCATGGTTTGGCGTTAAGTCTTCCAACAGCGATGTTGGATGTTAGACATCGCTGTTGAGCCAAGGTTGGATTTCTAGAAACTTCTGGAACAGCGATGTAGG